CCTCCACCCCCGCTGGCACCGCCGTTGGTCCACCTCATCTCCAGTGGCCCTAGGGCCATGGGGGCGTGGTGGATCCCGACCCTTGTCGGCGTGAGAGCTCTATTTTTAGATGTTTCTTCCAGTTTTGTTAAGGTTTGTATCCTGCTTAGGAAGGCGAGATGGCGGTGGGTCCCTGAAGATGAAATAAAGTTCTTCTCGCCTAGCCCCCATTCTGGTGGTGCGTCTAGCATCGTCGGTGGGCGCATGTCTCCGGTGGATCTTTCTTTGGTGGATTTGCTCAGATCTGGTAATTGTTCGCCTACATTCGTGTATCTTCAGATTGGATCCTTCCGATCTACGCTATTCTTCATCGGCGCCGGTTGTTGTTTTCATGCACTGGTCCTATGGGGCTTTAGCACGACGACTTCTCGACTTCTACTACAACAAGTTTTGCATGGCTCTGGCGAGGGAGGGGCGATGATGGGGTGCGCCTTCGGCTCGCTTTATTTTTGTAGTCGTCGCTAGGTGGTCTACGGATTTGGATTTGATTGTACTGTCATGATTAAAGATGAATAGATGGAAACTTTTCACGGAAAAAAGACACTACATGGTCCTCCTCTCTTTTCTCTCTCCACACATGCATGGTTTCCTCTCATCTCTCTCCCCAACCGCACAAATAAGGGTTAATTTGTGAAAATGGTTGGATGACTCTCTCCCGTATCATGTCCACGAACCATGTCTGAAGATAAAAACGAACACTTGCCGTGTTCATTTGGGGATCACGTTGGAGATGCACTAAAGCAGTACATTTGATCGAAAGTGCTATTGTTAGTACAGGTAGAAGCTTCCATCTGCCTACAGATCGACTGAACTCTGAAGCCATGGTCCGTCCCTGGGACGTGGCCAATGCACAGCGCACGTCGCCATCCACACAGCACATCAGTTGACAAGTCTAACGCATCGCGTTGGAGAAGGCAAAGAATACATATGCAAAGTCGATGTAATTACCTGAAGAAAAGGTTAGTTTGATGTAGGTCCGTACATATATACGTGCCGCTGCTCGTTCTTGATCCTCGATTGGGTTGCTTAATCCAGTGTGGCTAGCTGAACGTGCGGCTTTTATCAGGGACGTTTCTTCTTTCCTTTTTTCAAGGGAAAGGTGTATTTTTCTTTTTCTTGTAAACATAGGCAAAAAAAAAAGCTTTGTCTAGTCTCGTTTCAAAACGGAAGCAAAACGGGGGAAGGGTGCATTGCTGTTGCAACTTGTGGCCTGCCGACATGGGTCTTTTGCATCATGCGTTGCACGAGCATGTATCATGTATGTAGGGTATGTACGTCACCTTCATTAACAAAGAAAGAAGAACATCAGCACACTAGCTTTCGGTCCCGTCCCTCGATAGTGCCCTTGGTCTGGGCATATATGCCACACTGTCTGGCCGACCTGGGCGCCCGCCCGGGCCTTGTGTCACAACTCACAAGCCAGTCGGTTTGGTTTGATGATGCTTCTTTTGTACAAGAGTGCCCACGTCTGACTCAACGTTTTACCATACGCACAACAATTTACAACTCCAAGCCCATGCATACTTTGATTAACATTTTCGTAATCACACATATGTGTAACTACTTACTCCCTTCGTCTGGAGTTGCTTGTCGTAAAAATGGGTGTATCTAGATATATTTCAGTTCTAGATACATCTATTTCCGCAACAAGTAATTTGGGACAGAGGAAGTACATATATCCATACAATATGAAAATGTTTCTGCCCTCCAGATTAACATTTTTTTTCCTTGAACACAGAATGTTAATCACAGATCAGGAATTGATGGAGACGTATATGTATGTGCGAGGTGTGGGGCGTATTGATGGAGCAGCTAGCTATAGATAGCGCGGAGGGCACGGTAGGGCAGATGGTTGGAAGATATACAAGATAGAACAGTGGGTGGAAGAGAGACCTCACAGCTGAGCTGATCCAGCGGGTACACCTGGCGCCCGATCCCGCGCCGTGCATAGCCGATTACATCTACATATGCATGCGTCGCCTTCACGCACGCTAGCAACCAAAAGTTGGCCTCCCTAATTACACTGCACTCCACCACGGATCCGGTCGTATTAGTCTCACTCTCGCCTCGGTAGATGCACGTGATGATCACTATGTATGTGCACACAAAAGGCCAACCTGAATTCTGCTATATACCAGGCATACAACATTATAATCACACTGTTATTATATTGTTCTTCAATGTACCCCCGCAAAAAAAAAATTTGTTCTTCATTATACCGAAACGTACATATGGATAAGCTAGCCTGGCCTCCAAAGGCAGGCACTAGTTTTCTTACAGTTTAAGTATTTCCGTGGTGCATGTTAGTAGTATGTGTTTTCCCCGCAAAAAAAAAAGGAAAAGAAAGAAAAGAGTAAGCATAGTTTGTTGGTTTGGTCGACCTCATCGTCGGCGTCAGTTCCCATATCCAAGGGGACCGGCGGGATGGCCGCAGCCGCCTATTTAAAGGCCCGCACAGCATCTCATACGCTCCATTTAGTCCCTCGCTCACTGCTACCTAATTCTATCACTCATCATCCATACATACATGGGGTGAGTACACCATCAGTCTACTTCACTAGTGCTACACCATCACGAACTCCTACGTGAACCATGGGGAAGGTGGTCGTCGCAGAGGCCACGGCGCGGCAGGGGGCGGCCTTCGTCCTCGGCGCCGTGGCCGCGCTCACCGTCGTCATGCTCGTCCAGTACCGAGCGCCGGCCGCGGGGCTCAGCCGCGCCAGGACGCCGGGACACTTCTCTGGCTTGAGGTCATCATCCGACTCCGACGACCAGCACCACCGCCCCAACGGGACAAGAGCGCGTGCTCATGTTCATCAGGCGCCGCCGGTCGCCGGTGGTCCAGGGCGAGACGACGATCATCACCTTCACCGTCCGGCAAACGCCACAACAATCGCAAAGCCCAATTCTACCTCGACTCATGCCGCTCCAAGTCATCTTTCCCGCACACATCGCCGTCGACAAAAGGTCAGTTTGCCGTCGACTTTTCAAATTTCTTCGAAAAGCAAGCCAGTTTTTTATACTCCTTAGCTGAACGGCAATACTTTTTAGGAATCCGTTTTGTGCCCATGAGCAAATTCAGGGCGCTATGGCTGAACGGCAATACTTTCTTGCAGTAGCAGTTTTTTTTTTTTTTTGCGGGGTGGTAGCAGTTACCAACTAGACCAACCACTCACGTGTTGCCACAAATGGCCACTGAATTAAACTAGTACACACATCTTCTTTGTTGATCAAACTGTTGTCACGACTCACGAGTCCGTCAATGCCGTTGTCAGTTACAGATGGTTAATTCGTTGTAGGATTAATAGCGCCAAATTTGGTGCCTAAAAATGCTGATGGATCATGCATGCCGTGGCAGGGACCGAAGGTGGAGTCGCCGGAGTTCCGGGGGTTGGCCGCGGCGGTGGCACGGGCGGCGATGGACGACCGGACGGTGATCATCACGTGCGTGAACCAGGCCTGGGCGGCGCCCGGCTCCCTCCTGGACCTGTTCCTGGAGAGCTTCCGCATCGGCGACGGCACAGCTCGCCTGCTCCCGCACGTGCTGGTCGTGGCCATGGACCCCGGCGCCCACGCGCGGTGCCTGGCCGTGCACCAGCACTGCTACCACTACACCATCCCGGGCCTCAACATCGACTTCGCCGCCCTTAAGTTCTTCCTCTCCAAGGACTACCTGGAGCTGGTGTGGAGCAAGCTGAAGCTGCAGCGCCGCATCCTGGAGCTCGGCTACGGCTTCCTCTTCACCGACGTCGACATCATGTGGCTGCGCGACCCGTTCAAGCACGTGACGGCGTACGCCGACATGACGGTGTCCAGCGACGTCTACTTCGGCGACCCCGACAACCTGGACAACTTCCCCAACACGGGGTTCTTCCACGTGAAGCCCAACGCGCGGACCATCGCCATGACGAAGCTGTGGCACGGGGCCAGGGGCAAGTACCCGGGCGCCAACGAGCAGCCGGTGTTCAACATGATGAAGAAGCGGATGGTGAAGAAGCTGGGGCTCCGGGTGCAGTACCTGGACCCGGTCTATGTGGGCGGGTTCTGTAGGTATGGTAAGGATCTGGGGAAGATCGTTACCATGCATGCGAACTGCTGTGTGGGGATTGATAACAAAATTAGAGATTTGAAGGGTGTTCTTGATGACTGGAAGAACTATACCAGGTTGCCGCATTGGGAGAAGCATCGGGCCAAGTGGACCGTGCCCGGTGCCTGCATCCGTGCAGAAAAACAAGCTTGATCCATCAATATTAGTTTACTTCACTCCATATCGGCGTGAGGAGATAGACGATTGAGTATTTTCGGAAATACATTTCCTTTTATTAATTTTGATGACAAGTATTTTCGGACGGACGGAGGGAATGCAAAATGACGTACAGTGGGAAAATACAATGTGCGTTTATTTTATATATTAGCAAAAGAAATACTCAATTGAGGGTCTCGTGGGAGCTTTGGAACGAGTGCAATTCGAGAGTCTCATTCCGGCATGAGGTGATGACGTCACTTGTCATGCTTGTCTTGTGGGAGCTTTGGAACGAGTGCAATTCGAGGGTCTTCAACGATATCCATAAAGAGGCAAAAAATTGGATTTCAGCCAGGATGAGACACATGGGTGATATTATGCCAAGAGAGTAGTTTTTGTATTGGCCTTCGAGATATTGACTTTGTTAAAATATTTTTTAGTTAAATGAATGTGGCCAGACTAATCAATTCGATCCTATGTTCCTACTATCAGTTTCGACTAATCAATTTATTCGATCCTGGTGTTAGTACAAAAGTACCTGGAAGAGCTAGTGATCGTGCACCCAACATGTTGATGTCGTGCAAACCAATCTATGGTTGGATGGTTAAGTAGACAGTGGTATTTTCAGTCCATCAGGGTTCACGTTCTGGTGCTTGCATTTATCCAGGATTTATTTCAGAATTTTCGGTGATGTGTGTTCAGTGGGAGGAGATGTTCCCGTCGACTACGAGATGTCTATGGTGACTTTGTAAAAATCTCAAGATGATATGCCGTCTCAGTCTCTCGAAAGTACTAATACGGATAGGATGCGCGTGCCTGTTCATAGAATGAGTGTATGCGCATATGAGCACTTGTGTGTGTACTATGTTAAAAAAAACAAGCCGATGTCGTTAAGTATTGGAATTTAGGCCGGCCGAGGCCCGGGGAGATGGTGGGGGTTAGACCTGGCCATCCTCCGGGCCGGGCCTGACCAAGCCCGAGCCCAACCTGGCCTGGCCGTCGGGCCTAATTTTCAGGCCCGAGCCCGGCCCATCACAGCAAAAAACACATCGGGCCTCGGGCCTCGGGCCGGGCCTCTTCAGTAATGGCATAAACAGCGGGCCCAGGCCCGGCCCGACCTAGTCTTCGGGCTCAAAACCAAGGCCCAGGCCCGGCCTGGGAGCAGCGTCGGGCCGGGCGGCCCATGGCCAGGACTAGTGGGGGTCGAATTAAGGCGTCAGTCTCTAGCTCAATTTGGTTGCCTGATTGGCCCGGGAGAGTAGATGCATGGGCAATTTTACTCTTGTGCAGGATGCGCTGCCACTGGATGTTTGTGGGCTCCCGTTGTTTCTAGCGTCAGAAAAAGGAGAATCTCCTTTCCACAATGTGGTGGAGGACTAGAGGGATATAGCAGCAGGTAGCTGAGCTCTTAACACCAATAGCCAATAGGGGTCAAAACGAATCCTGCATGCCAATCCATGAAGGAAGGAACCGTACCACAGATCAGGCAAGTCGATCAGTTATCGGTGGTAGCTAGATGAACCACCTACCCAACATGCATGACGAACTAGTCTAGCATCAAGCAAGTACACGAAAGAATACACACACCTGTAGTCCTTCCAAGCCAGCTAGTTCGAGTACTTGCTCGAGTACTGGCCCAGCAGTTCGTACATTCCCGGGATTCTCTGGCGCTCTGCATGCCAGAAACAGAGGGACCGTTCGATCCATCAATCACGAACGTACGCACAGCAACAAGTACCCGAAGCACTGTGCCAATTCAGTTATTAGTCCCTTCCATAGGACCATATATACGCACGCAGAGCCAAGACGTGGCTAGCGATGCTACAGCTCCCGTCACATCGGCACAACGCATGGGCATCGCTTGACAGTTTTGTATGATATGATTGGCCGTCCGTGGAAATATGTCCCTGAAAATGCCAACACGTACGGGCGGGCGGGTTGCCCGCAACACCTAACCGTGGATTAGTCGTCGCTGTTGCAGCATGGTCCCGTGATCCACAGCATACGAGACATCATAATATCTTGTGATCACTATTGCGACGTGTGTGTATCATCGGTCATTTCAGCCGCGCAGGGTATTTGTACTACCTCTGTTTCAAAATATTTGATGTTTTACAGTTTTAGGTTTGTTTTAAGTTAAACTTCCTCAAGTTGGGATGACTTGATAGAAAAAGTTACTAAGATTCACAACATCAAACGTATATGATATGAAACTATACTTTATGATGAATCTAATAAAAGTGTTTTGGTGATGTGGGGAGAGGGAGTTTCATGAATGGAGACTGGTGAGCGCGACGACTACAATTCAACGAAGGGAGAGGAGTGGCGGCGGCGACATAGATTGGGGACAAGAATCACTCAACTCGCCCTGGATCCTACAATCCACTACACGCCCGTGAGGGACTTAGGCAGTCTCGAACATGACCCAAAATTGTGCCCCCCTATTCAGTTTATCTGGGCAAGGAAATAAACATGCTACAACTAAGCCAACCTCTAAAGTAGGGAGGTACCCGAAAAGTTCCCTCCGAGCCTCTTCTTTCAAAGGTGAAAAGGAAGGCCACTTCTCACTTATTTCCGAGCCTCTTCTTTCAAAGGTGAAAAGGAAGGCCACTTCTCACTTATTCCATGCGCTCAAAGATTTTTCACCCTCCCGCCACGCATAAACCATCGTCCCTCCGCCGTGGTGCCACAAGGATCGTTGAAATTGCCTTCGTATCCCTGCCGCCCTACGTATCTCCTCTACCTCTCCTCATGTCCCCTCCCGCATTTGGATACTTCGTTGGAAACCCTAAAAAGGGACATGCCACACGCCCAATTGTCAACTCTACTATCTGGACCTCCTCCGGGTAGTCATGTTCCGCTCCCTGTAGGTTGTCCGCCACATCGACGCCCCCTCCTGTATTTATTTGTAGGACGTCCGAGACCTCCTCCACTTAGCTAGGGCAGAGGCCAATCCAACTACAACGCTACTCGTCGATGAGCTTCTCCAACCTGCCTCCACCGAGATTCTATCGCCGAGGCGTCGCACAACCGAGATGAGTTCCGCCTCCCTCCTCATTTCTTACGAGCACGAAAAGGATGTTTTCAATTCTGAACAAATGTTGATCTTCTTGTATTGGACTGAGAAAATGAATTATTTTGTAGGATGGATAAATGTGGGTCAATTCTGTACGATGGTTTGGTGTTAAGCTATGTATAATTATGTATACAAATATGAAATTGGTGGAGAACATGTATACAAATATTTACGGGCTAAAAATAGGGCATGTTGTTGAAGTTGGAGGAATTTTTTAGATTAGGTATTGGGGTTAGCCCCAAAAGCATTTCTAGGGGCTACTACTAGAGATATTATTAACTGCACTTAATACTTAATAGTGTGACCGGACTCAAGCTGATCCATCAATAGTACTCTCTCCGTAAAAAAAATATAAGAGTATTTAGATTACTAGTTTAGTGATCTAAAAGCTCTTATATTTCTTTATAGAAGGAGTATTTAGCAACATTGAGGAGAAGAAGAGAACACCCGTCCGTGGTAACCTATGTAACACCAATGATGGGTTGAAATTTGGTCCATTGGTACGCATAAATGTTAAGCCAACATCAGTGATATTTTAGGGTTAGAATTGAACTATAAAGTCATCGGTGATGGTTCATTGGCTTTCATTCATCCATCGGTACTACAAGTGACGAGTGGTCAAAGGCCAGCCAGTGTTCATAACAAATTAAAGGTTGGATGGTTAGGAAAGCAATGGTACCTAGAGATCAAATTCTAGATTTAATGCTTAGATTTTTTTTGAAGAGAGGCAAAAGATTTGCCTCATTCATTAAATAAGAGGAATAGAGTTTATGTTCGTGTTACAACACAGACAACACCGCAACACCCGAAATAAAGGTGACCAACTACTCTCACGTCATCAAGTATCCCAACTTTCTTGCACCCGCTGATACCCAAAGCGTGGCCTCCTTCTTAATGTTGGCAAGTAGAACCGTCGGCGGAGCACTCTTCTGATGGAACACTCGCGCATTCCTCTCGTTCCAAATGGTCCAGGCAACGAGCATGGTGAGCGAGGCCATCGCCTTCCTGTTGGGGATAGATGTGTCGGAGAGGCCCACCCACCACTCTTCGAGGTTGCCTGAGAGGTGCCATGAGGAAGTATCAATGCTCACCAGTTGCAGCCAGTCCTTGACTAATCCCCATTGGCGGATAGAGAAGAGGCATTTGTAGAAAAGGTGGTCAACAGACTCTTGCTCCTGCTTGCAAAGTGTACAAAGGCCACAGTTTGGCCATCCGCGCTTCTCCAATCTGTCTGTCATCCAAATTCTGTTTTGAATAGCCAGCCAAGCGAAGAACTTGACTTTGAGGGAGCCCAAGCCCTCCACACAGTGTGCTCCATAGGGGATTTGATTGTGCCAAGGAATTGCGCTCTGTATGCCGACTCGGTCGTGTATTGCCCGCTAGCGGTGTGCTTCCATACAATATCATCTTCGGCATCCTCCTCAAGATGGAAGCCACGAAGCGTTGTCCAGAGGGTGACAAACTGACGTAAGTGATTCAGCGAAAAAGAGTCCGGGATGCATATTCTCGAGACCCACGCATCATTGCTGAGAGCTTCGCGCACCTTCCAATTTTTCCTCGTGGATGCCTCGTAAATTAGAGGTGCAATGTCCCTAGGCTTGCGGTCATTCACCCATGACGCATCCCAAAAGGCGTCCTTGCTCCATTTCCAACTAAGATTGACGTGGAGGCATAGAACAAGGAGTAGTCCATCGTGTTGCACGGGTTTCCCATACTCACTGATAACCCACAAGTATAGGGGATCACAACAGTTTTCGAGCGTAGAGTATTCAACCCAAATTTATTGATTCGACATAAGGGGAGCCAAAGAATATTCTCAAGTATTAGCGGCTGAGTTGTCAATTCAACCACACCTGGAAACTTAATATCTGCAACAAAGTATATTTAGTAGCAAAGTAATATGATAGTAGTGGTAACGGTA